AGGAGGTTGCCAAGGTAACTGCCATCCCATAATGCACAGGACCTTGGACGGGCATTAGTGGTGTAGTGGTTAGCATAGCTGCCTTCCACAATACATAGGACCACCTCCAGAAGAAAGTATTCACAGAGCCAGCTAGGAGGAAGAAGAAAAGGTGGAAAGTGGGGAGTGGGGTCCCTTTCTAGGCATTCCTTCAGCCAAAATGTTCTCTTCCTCTCACTTTAGCAAGTTGAGTCCTGCACGCATGCTTCTCCTGCTCCAAAGATAAAAAAAAAACAATTGTAGTGTGCTGTGCTGGAAGCTGATCTCTGTGTTCTAATAGTCAATGTGGGACAGAGCAAAGGAGGCGAGGATGACGCAGGGTAAACTGAGGTATACCTCCCCAAGCCTCTGTCTCGGCCGCATGGAATTCTGTGTCGGCGCCACATTTGCCAACTATAGCAGAGTGGTTTCGTTGTTTCTGTCTTCAATTTAGACAAGGTTTGGCAACATTTTTTTTTATAAAGGAACCAGATCACAAATATTTCCTGCTTTGTGGACCCCATTGCCCACGTGGAGCTGGTCAGCCCCGCTGTTGTTGTCCAGAGATAATATACAAACAGATGATCACCAGTCCGTGTGCCAGTTAAGTCCGTTTTTACAGACACAGGCAACAGACCAGCCAGCTTCGGCCTGAATGATGTGGTTTGTGGACACCTGGCTTAGCCCCAAAGCTGGAACCTTGTCTGTTTCCCCTTCACACGCGCTGCGCCTAATATCACGTTGCACAGGGTTGAGACCCCGGAACACTTACCGAACAACACCAAGGGGTCACTTGTGCAAGCTCAGGTGTTAGACTTCAATGCAACCACCACTGGAGGGAAAGATCCATCCAGCATTTCCCCCAGATAGCTGCTGTGTATCATTTAACCATCTCCCTGTGTAGAAGGTTTAGGCTGATCCCTATTTATTTATTTATGGCCAGTCCTGAAGCTTGAACTCTGGGTCTGGGGGCACTGTCCCTTAGCTCCTTTTGCTACAGAGACAGGTGGTAGTATTCTACCACCTTGAACCACAGCTCCACTGTGTGTGTGTGTGTGTGTGTGTGTGTGTGTGTGTGTGTGTGTGCACGTGTGTGCGTGCGTGCGCATGTGCCTAGTTAGAGATAAGCATCTCACAGACTTTCCTGCCCAGGCTGGCTTCAGACCGTGATCCTCAGATCTCAGCCTCCTGAGTAGCTAGGATGATAGGTGTGAGCCACCAGAGCCTGGCTTCCAAAGTTTCACTAGCAATTAGGGTCTTGAGAACAAGCTCCCTCCTAGCACATGGTGGGCCTGTGTTCTTATCTTTTCCTTCATGTGAATTCCTAGAAGAATCAGGTCCTTCGAGCAGCACGTATTTGCTAAATGGCTTTCCAAGAAGGATGGTTTTGATCTATATTCCTAACTGTAACACGACAAGGAAATCTATCATGAGCAAGGGGTGCTTTCAACAAAACTGCCATCAGAGAAAGTTTGAGCCTCCACGTGAGATTGCTCAGCATGGGTAGAAGTAAATTGGCTGCTGTAACAGTATGATCATTATACCTGCTGGGGCTGTCCAGCCCAGGACAAAACATCTGCTTCCCATTAGGCCTTGTACCCACCACCATCTGAACTCCTGGCACCAGCCAGCCTCCCCTACCTTGACGGACAGAGGCCTCCTCCTTGTGAACTTCACCACCAGATATGTCATCCAGTTGCTCATTTCCCTCAGGACATTTCACGTGGGTTCATTTTGGCACACAAGTGGAGTTAATTCAGGAACGATTGCTCCTGTGATGGCTGGTAACATGTAAAATGTTCCTAAGACAGATTAAGGAAGAAAGAAAAAGAAAGATAGGAAGGGAGGAAGGAGGGAGGGAGGGAGGGAGGGAAGAAAAGAGAGAGGGAGGGTAGGGAAGGGAAATGAAAAAAGAAAGAGGGAGAGAGGAAGGAAGGAAGGAAGGAAGGAAGGAAGGAAGGAAGGAAGGAAGGAAGGAAGAAAAAAGAAAGAAAGGAAAGAGGAAAGAAGGAAGAAAGTCACTGGGAAACTACTAAGGATCTCTGATTATTATCCAAGCACAGCAAGAAATAGGTCTTGTGAACTGCAGGGTCTGGGCACTGTAAGAACAGAGAAACAACATGAGCAGACACTTTCATGGGCCTTTGGCTCTCTCCAAACTTCTCTGAGTTTGTCCAGGATAAGAGGATGTTTCTTACTGAGAAAGAGTAGAAAACATCATAGAAATCAGGGTGGCCTGTGTAGTTACATGTTGGTACAGTTACATGTCAGTGCCAGTGGCTCACACCTGTCATCCTAGCTATTCAAGGAGGCTGAGGATCGTGGTTCAAAGCCAGCCCCAGCAGAAAAAGTCCATGAGATACTGATCTCCAATTAGCCACAAACAAGTACAAGTGGAGGTATGTCTTAAATGGTAGAGCACCAACCTTGAGAGAAAAAGCTAGAGGACAGTGCCCAGGCTCTGAGTTCAAGCCCCTGTACACACATTCCCAAAAACACGTGCCAGACAGAATCAGATCTATGAAGACCAGCCGCTAAGAGCCAGCATTTTCCAGAGAAATCACCCTGTGGCAGCCAGCCACTAAGCTGCTCCCAAGTTCACTTACTTGATCTTCCCACGATCAGAAGAGATGGACATGCACCACCCAGGCACAGAGGACCTCAAGGGAGGCTTAGGACGGTGTATTGATATGTCCAAATTCCAGAACTTACAAGAACTCAAGTATTGGGGGAGGGGGTGCCAGTGCCCCGTCTGTGCCCACAGATGGCATTTGGAAACAGGACACCACTGTGAAGTCACCCCTCGGGTCCCATTTGCTGAGAATTGAGCACACTGCGTGCTGGAGGGTCATGAACTATTTTCAGGGAGCCGTCCAGCCGTGCACAGTAAACCAGAAACTGAGCCAGAACTGCAGCCATGCTGCCTGGCTCCCCATTCTCTCTGTCATCCCAAATGGTTCCCACAAAGCTCCATGGGCGGTGCTTGTCCAAAGGCAGGGTGTTTGCAGAGAGACCGCAACTGCTTTAAAGAGAGTAACACAGAAGCCAGGCATGGGTGGCTCACGGCTCACTGTGGTCATCCTCGCTGCTCAGGAGGCTGAGGTCAAAGGCTCGAGATTCAAAACCCAGGCAGAAAAGTCAAGGGGATCCATCTTCATTAACTAGCAAAAAGCTGGGCTGGAGCCATGACCCAAGTGGTGGAGGGTTAGCTCTGCACAAGCAAGCTGAGCAATTGTGAGGCCTTGAGTTTAGGCTATGGTAGTAGCGGAAGGAAGGGAAGGACTAAGAACTTGGCTGAAGTGGTAGAGTACCTGCTTAGCAAGTGCAAGGCCATGAGTTCAAACCCCAGCACTGCTCCCCTTCAAGAAAAAATAATTAAATGAGCCAAGCAATACGCATGTATGCAATACGCATACTGTAATCTCAGCTACACAGGAGACAGAGGTAGGAGGATGAGAGGTTGAGGCCAGCCTGGGCAAGGTTAGTGAGACACCCTAATCTCACAATGAAATCCAACACAAGGGCTAGGGCAGAGCTCAAGTCGCAGCTCGCTGGTCTAGCATGTGTGAGGCCCTGTGTTTCAGCCCCAGAATGAAAAACCACGTGGCTTGGTGCATGTCTTCTTTTATTTTTTCCTCTTTCCTTAAACAGAATGAGTTCAGTGTGGAACCAGTTGTACTATGGTTAACAGGATTAGACTAGAGGTTGGACGGAAGGTGGGGACGGAGCATCTTAACAGGTGGGGGGTGGGGAGGAGGAAGATTCTGTCCAGCTTCCCCATCAGAGACACCCACATCCACAGGCATCTTCTGAAATCAGTTAGAACCTGGCTGTGGGGGCTTAGGCTTGCAGATGCCCTGCTTGATTCAAAGCCATGGAGAACTCAGGGCAGAGGCACGCGGAACTCGTGCCTAGAAGACATTTGCCTTTCTTTCCTGCTTTAAAAAGAAAATGTGCCTGGAATGGAGGGGCAGAGGCTAGACATACATGTGGGAGGAGCAATACGTAGCCAGCTAGGCATGTGGAAAGGCTGACTGGATGGAGATGGACGCATTGAGATGCTGTTCTCTGACAACCAGAGGCCATTTGTGCCTGGCGGGCTTGGGTTGCAAATATGGAAGCAATATCGCAGAAGTGCCGTTGCTGCAGAGAGATGCCAATCAAACACGAGTCCCGCCTACAGGTTTTGACCAAAGGCCCCATGTGGACAGATCCATGGTGGCCTGGGTCTGGGATCTGCTTGCCACGTGGCCCAAGATGCGTTGCGGTCTGAAATTCCAGACCAGTCTTTGAATCAGCGAGTGTACGTCTCAACTTGTAGAATATCATCTGAGTTCACGCATCTTTCCTTATTGCCACCACCCAGTGGAAAATCCTGTAATCCCGGTATTTCCTCATCCAGACAACACTTGTAGGCCCCGTGTCAACAAGGCCCCTCAAGTGAGCCTGACCCACCAGGCCCCCTTCCATTGTTTAGATGCTTACCATCCTGTTGTGGGCTTTTTGCTTCCACTGGGTGCTTGGTGGTAACTAGGCAAAAGCCTTAGTGCCAGGACAGATCCAAATCTCAGCCCACTGGATTTGATTTTCTAAGACATGGGCTCCGGCTCTGAGGGCCGCTTCACTGTGCACTATGTGTTGTGTGTGGTTTCAGAACAGAACATGGTAATGGGGCTGTTGGGGGTGGGGGGCAATCTCAAATGAAGGCCTGCTGCTTTTCATGGTGCCAAAGAGATTCTTCATGAGAAATTTCCCAGCCAGCACAGGAGCATCCCCTCCCTCCTTCCCAGCATCCAATGGACTTCCCAGAATCCAATGGGCATTTGCAAAACTCCCCTTCCCCACCTTTGCAAACCAGATATGTCGCCGGAGATCTGCAATCATCCCTACTCACTCCTCTCCCAGTGCTCCCAATCTGTGTGCCACAAATGCCCTTTCGGTCCCCGATCTGTGCCACAAGCGCCTTTTCTGTCCCTCTGCAGAGCGTCGGCTGTGATGACTACCTGGGCTCTCACAAAGTCATGGACAAGTGCGGTGTCTGCGGGGGTGACAATACAGGCTGCCAGGTGGTCTCCGGTGTATTTAACCACGCCCTCACCAGCCTGGGCTACCACCGCGTGGTGGAGATTCCCCAGGGAGCCACAAAAATCAATGTCACGGAGATGCACAAGAGTAACAACTACCTGGGTAAGTGAGGCCATCTTCCTGGGGAAAGTGTCCGTCGCTGCCAGTGATGGAATCTTCCAGGGCTGTGCAGAGGGACTAAGATATGTATGTCACCGGGGTACCTTCATACTGCCTGGCCTGCCTGACCTTTGATTTAAACTTGGAGCAAATTAAAAATAATAATAATAATTAGCCAGCGTCAGTGGCTCATACCTGTCATCCTAGCTACTCAGGAGGCTCAGATCTGAGGATCGCAGTTCAAAGCCAGCCCAGGCAGGAAAGTCTCTGAGACTGTTATCTCCAATAAACCACTCAGAAAACTGGAAGTGACGCTATGGCTCAAGTGGTAGTGCACTCGCCTTGAGCTGAAGAGCTGAGGGATAGCGCCCAGGCCCAGAGTTCAAGCTCCACAACCAACTAAAAAAAAATAATAATAATAATTGCCAGGCGCCAGTAGCTCATACCTGACATCCTAGCTACTCAGGAGGCTGAGATCTGAGGATTGTGGCTCAAAGCCAACCTGGGCAAGAAAAGCTATGAAGACTCTTTATTGCCAATGAACCACCAGAAAACGAGAAGGGGCACTGTGGCTCAAAATGGTAGAGTGCTAGCCTTGAGCAAAAAGAGCTTAGGGACAGCGCCCAGCCTGAGTTCAAGCTCTATGACAGACCAAAACAAAAATCCTTCTTACAGCTAAATGCTTAAGAGCTGTACATGTAAACCAGCCACTGCTGTTCCTAACAATAACTTGGTTATAAAATCCGAGCATGACAGCCCAGGTGAGGCTCAGCAGCGTGGGGCTCTGTGGAGACCCAGGAGGTCAGCAAGTCTTGGTTCTATTGGAGTGGCATTGGTGACATGCGTAGTCCCCTCGCATCGTCCCTGGAAGTCGAGAGCAGAAGCCATTCTTCCTCCTGTCCACTTCATCTGCCTGGTATTATAGCCTTTGCATTTATGGTAGCCACATGCTCTAAAACCTTCACATTCGTGGCATAGAACACTCCCTTGCATAGCATTCAAACACTCTAGAACCTTCACCTAAACAGCAATGACGCGCTCTAGAATTTTCACGTTAATCGCAAGCACTCTAGAACCTTCTAGAACCTTCCACAGTTACTTCAAGCACACATTCATCCATATTGGATGTCTTTTCCCTTTCATCTTTAAGTAGTTGTCCAAAAGAGTTGTCCTTTCACTAAGAAGTTTATGAATACCATATACAATCTAGCTTGATCAGCGCCACCCCTTTCAACATGCCCACCCACCCCTCCCCAACCTGCCTCTTCCCTTAATTTTGTACAATATACATTGGATTCTTGACCGCACTCTTCCCCTCTTCTCTTCCTGGAAGGCTGTCTTTAACTCATCTTCCTGCAAAGGGAGATCTTTGTTGATCTTTCTTCTTCTGGATTTTCAGGCTCTTTGCATTCCATCCATGAAAAGCAATCATTAAAAAATGAAATTTTGGCCAATGTTTGACTTACGTTTGTGTACAAATCAGTTAAAGAAATGACCCAGGGGAGCCATTTCTTAAAGCCTTTAAAGAACAATATCCACTTTTATTTCTTAGCACCCACTATATGCCAGGCAATGTTTTGTCTCGGTGTGGATGGGCGTGCACGTGTGCATGCATGTGTGGGTGTGATTCTGGGCTGGACCCTGAACTAAAGCCTCACACTCTGACTTGGCTTTTTCTGCTCACGGCTGATGCTCTGCCGCTTGGGCCGTTTCTCCACTTCCTTTCTGCTGGTTAGCTGGAAACAAAAGTCCCTTGGATTTTTATTTCCCAGGCTGGCTCTGAATCTTGATTCTCAGATCCCAGCACCTTGAGTAGCTAGGATTACAAGTGTGAGTCTGGCTCTAGGCAATGATCTTAATGTTTTCTTTACCTAAAAATCCTTGAAGACTGGTTATCCCTGGGGTCTCCTACCTCCTCCTTCCTGCTGAGTAACCATGGCAACTTCCATCACCTCTCTGAGCCTGTTCTGTAAGATGGGGCTAGGAAGCAGGCAATCTAGTTCCAAAGATGCTACCCTGAAGAGGGAGGTGTCCAAGTTCCCTGCTCTGCCATTGGCTATGCAGCAGCCAATGGCTACAGTGAAAGACCATGGATTATGCCTCTTTGGCTAGCAGGACTAGAAGACCACGGCGGCCACAACCTCCACACTCTACAGCTCTTCCCTCCCACCTGAGCAGACGCCACCCACACTAACTGCACTTGGCTTTATTGGCCGGGGCAGGAAGGGACGGCAGACAAAGCCAACTAAAGCAGGAAATGGTTATCTTTGTCCTGGCAAATCTGGGAACCCACCAAGGCGGCAGAAAGCCGAGTTTTCCATGTGAGGGGTTTGCGTGTTATTTTTCATAGCAAAAGATAGTCCGCATGTTTCCGTTTTATATTTTTAGGAACTCACAGACTCATGTGCTGCCTGCCTCCCGTGGGGAAAAATGGCCTTCCGGGCATTGTGTGAGCCCAGTGGTGTTCAGACACTGCCTGGAGTTAGCTTTGTGTTGCAAAGCAAGAAGACATGTATGCGAGGGGTTGGCTGAGGAAGGTTCTAGAAATCAGGTGCCACATAGAAGAACCTGCATGGAGACAGGAGAGCAGGCTGCGAAGGAAGGAGACTCCAGGAGTGAGAGCACTTCCCACCTAGTACTTACACCCAGTACTTATTCTTCTTTTATTATTTTTTAAATTCTTGGGTAGTACTAGAGTTTGAGCCCAGAGCCTCACAGGCTGGGCCGGTGCTCTGCTCCTTGAGTCTGCTTGAAAATTGAAATTTAAAAATCAAGACCTAGCCAGGTGCCAGTGGCTCACACCTGTCAACCTAGCTAAGATCCTGAGGATCATGGTTCGAAGCCAGCTCAGGCAGGAAACTCCTTGAGACTCTTATCTCAACAAATTACTCAAAAAAGCCAGAAGTGGTTCTGTGACTCAAGTAAAGAGTGCTTGCCATGAGCAAAAGAAGCTCAGGGACAGTCCCCAGGCCCAGAGTTCAAGCCCCAAAACCAGCACAAAAAAAAAAAGAGGGGAGGGGCTGGGAAGGTGGCTCAGTGGTAGAGTACTTGCCTTGCATGCATGAGGCCTTGGGTTCAATTCCTCAGCACCACATAACCAGAAGAAAAAAAAGCGGGAAGTGATATTATGGCTCAAGTGCTAGACTTAAGCTGAAGAGCTGAGGGACAGCGCCAGGCCCAGAGTTCAGGCCCCTGGCTGGACCCAAATAAAAAAGGGGGGGAGAGACTTTAGAACCCCAGAATCTGTTGTTGAACTCTGAATTCTCCTTTTGTACGCCAGGATTTTTTTTCCCTTCTCCAGTCCTGTTATTTGAGGGGAAAAGTTCAATCTAATATTATTTAAATGATTGGCAGTTTATCTCACTGGCTTCTCTCTTAATAAGATGTTGTAAAAATTATTTTAGCAAAAATATCAAAGTTTGGCATTGTTCGGCCGGCTCAGTTCACTAATGTCACTGTATAAGGTAAGAAATCCAACATAAAAACATACTGAGCCGAAATGGATAATTCTGGACACACACCACCCGCCAGTGTGTTACATCGTCTGAGAGTTACAGGTTTGGCAGTCATTTTTGAAGCTCTGTATTCTTAAAAAATAAACTGCGATGGATTTACTTTTAAGCATATAAACGTGAAACAAGAATTATAAAGCCCAATTCAAGAAGTGTCATGGCTTCTCTCTAATTTGCAAACTTTATTGGTTGAGCAGCTTTCTAGATGGAGGAAAAAGTTGAGATGTTTAAATAATGTGATGTCCAAGGTTAAAATGACTGAGTGTGAATTTGCAGGGATGGAGAAGTGGAAGGAGAGGGACAGAGAGATTATGATTGAAGTATTTATATGCAAGAGGAAGATTGGGTGCCAGTTGTTTGCGCTTATAGTAATGCCAGAAACCCAGGAGGCTGACACCAGAAGGATTATGGTCCTAGGCCAGCCTGGAGGGGGAAAAAAAAACCCTTCAGGAAATCCCCCATCTCAACTAATAGGCTGGGTATTATGTTTGCAAGCCTGTCACCCCAGCTACATGGAAAGTGTAAAATAAGAGGATCACGATCCAGGTTGGACCAAACAAAAAGTGAGTCCCTATCTCAAAAATAACAAAGTGAAAAAAGGCTGGAGGCTGCTCAAGCAGTAGAGTGCCCGCAAGTTCAAACCCTAGGCCTGAAAATCAATCAACCAACCAATCAATCAATCAATCAATCAATGAGGGATGGAGGACAAGAAAGAGCCATAAGAGGGTAGATTTAATCCAAGAACTTCACCTATACTATAAATACCAGAATGTAAATGTTGCTTGACACTGAGCCAAATTCCAGTCTCCATCAATTGAATAATTCACCTGCTTTGCAGTGGCATGTTTAGGGAGTGCTTTGTCTTCATGCTGATCCGAGGTCTGTCCCACGGCTCTGCTCCTTTCTGAGTTACCCAGAGTACTGGGCTACAACTGCTATAGAGTGTGTTATACTGCTGGGCATGGCTCCTGCCAGCCAGACCTCCATGTCACATTTTTCTCATGATACGGTTAGCATGTCTTATGTCCCACGTGATTTGGGGCGCTTTTGTTTGTCACATTGAAGGTGGGAAAGAGCCCACTGGCCACCGATGTGTCCCTGCCCTTGTATAAAAAGCTGTTCAGCAGATGTGCATTGAGGCTGAGATATGAGGCTCAAGATTCAAAGCCAGCCTTGCCACAGAAAAGCCCCTGAGACTCCACCTCCAAATTAGCAAGCAAAACAAATGCAGCTGGAGGTGTGGCTCAAGTGGTAGAGCACCAGCCCCCCAAAATTAAAAAAAAAGCAATGCAAGGCCAACACTGGCCTCAAACTACCATCCTCCAGATGTCAGCCTCCTGAGTAGCTGGGATTATGAGCATGAGCCACTGACGCCTGGCCGTGCCCTCATTTGTAAAGAGAGTCCACATGGTGTTTGATTCATTAAACTGAAAACCAAATCGCGAACGTGTAAAACTGTTGTTCCAGCTCATAAAACCTTTTCCCAAACTT